ATGTACATACATACATATGTATGTATCAGCATTAATGAATTAAAAGATATACATAGATACAAATAAAAAGATTAAGGAAAACCAGTTTACATTATAATAAAATTATTTATATGATTGTGTATATGATTATTTAAACAAAATTAATACTTTAATTATATTTTTTAATTTGTATAAATATGTATGTATGTACATGCATACACATTTTAATTTCTGTTAATTTAAAAAAATAATATTATTTGTGTGTCAGCATTCAGCAACAATATTATACAAAAGAAAAGGAAAAACGATTTTTTTATTTTATGTTTTTGAGTTATTGACTTTAATTTGTAATATTGTACATACACATGTGTATGTTTGTATGTGTACATATATGTAAGTTAGTAATAAAATTTAGGCTTTCTTACATTTCAAAATGCAACAATAAGATATTTAGGTTTTTGACAACGTTCTAACTTTTAATTTGAATAGCTATAGCAAGTATTTGATAATATTGAAATTAAACTACATATATACAAAAAAGATTCAATTACTTCAATCAATTCAATTCACTTTAACAAATCGATCGTCATTTTTAGTTATTACTCTGAGATCTGTTCTATAGCTTTAAACAACCAATTGTGTTTAGCGATCAATTTTTGGCCTTAACTTAATATATGCAAAATTGGAGGGATAGCAATTCATGGTTATTTCTATATTGTTGGATTAATATTAGAGTTATTTCTTCTTAAATTCTAGCTTGAAATTTATAGCCGCATTATATGAACATAATGACACTCATTCCTTTTTCTCACTCGGTGAGTAAAATAATGAAATATTGATAGATGCGTGTTGATTTGGTTTTTATTTCGCAATTCGACATTAATTTGAACAAACGATGAATATTTGTTAGAAAATTCTGTTCGACTAAAAATTTGAATAAACGAGATGAAAAAATAAAGGCCTTAAAGATTTTACAACGAAATTTAATTGTTAAAATTTAAAATAAGTTAGTATATTGTTAAAACATTAAAAAATCAAAAAAAAAGCGTGAAAGTTTCTTTTTTCAAATTAATTTGTAATATTATGATAAGGATAACATAATATCTTTTGCGCACACACACGTAAATATATATTAGATACATTTATACATACTACAATCGATATACTACATAATATATGTATGTATGTACATATGTATATAATTACTTTTGCACTATCGAAATTGTAAAATGCTAAATTTTAAGATTTTCTAGTAAAAATTGAATTTTTATGCAGATTAATAACATTAAAAAACGCAGTTATTTCTTTCATAATTACATACCGTATCCATATGCATTTAGTACAAACAAATTCGGCGTTTTCCGTCTTTTCGAACTCTTATCATCTCATAATCTGTATATTTTCCTCATTTCAATATTTGCGTTGAAGACTACACAAAACCTTTTTTCTTATAAATTATTTCGCAAATGGTTTAAAATTGTAGGTTTTGGTAAAACAGAACAGAAGAAATAATATTTGGAAAATAATACTAATTCAACGTCATTGCAATTTGTAAATATAATTAGGTTATAATATTGCACATATGTACTTTTATATGCATTTATATTGCGATGTGAAAATGGACATTTTACTGTTTTCACACAAACATGCATAAGTATGTATTTATTAAGAAAATATAAATGCGAATATATTCATAATCATACATACATATTATATGTATGCACACATTCATATATAGAAGTAAAATTTTCATATTAAACTTTACTACCGCAATGGACTGCAAGCCTGCAAAATAAAATATAGTAGGCATTATGTATTCTTGCATATATAACATATACATTGTAGAGATACCCATATTGTTTGTTCATGATATAAAGTATGAGTTGGATAAGTAAGTGTGTGAGTTCGTATACATGTGTGAGTTCGTATAGAACATGAACCGGTATTATGACATCATCCAATTGCGGGACTGAATAGTAAATAATAAATATGTATTTACATATTAAGATGAGAAACACTGAAAAAGAAAGCATTGGCCTAACTTCAGATACTTTAGAAAAAATACACAAACGATTTTTGATGATACACAAAAAATTAAAAAACTAAAGTTTCAGATAAAAACAAAACTTACTGGAGAAGTCTTTAGAGAAATCAATTTCCAAATTTTCTTTAATTTTTGCTAAGTTCACTTCGAATTAATTTTTCACTATGTATTTTGAAAATTAAATACATATGAAGTATTAATTATGTATATATGTATGTTTGTTTGTCAATTATCTATTATTTTGAATGTAAATAATATATATTACTTCAAAAAACAAGGTGACGTCATTTTTATGCAGATTTGTTAAGTTAAAAATTAAAAAATAACGTATTGTGTTGCCGCTTAACAAATTTGGGTAGTAGCAAATATAATGCAAAAAGCAATACTTTTCCAGAATCAAAATAGTGAAAGGATAATAAATTGAATTTAAACATCAATATTCTGTTAGTGTTGTGTCAATAATAAACACTATTGTTGAGCATCATGTGAGTACGCGTTTCTGAATTTGCTTAAGAAGCATTTCATCAGCAACAAAAATTTAATAACGGAGAAATAATTAATCTGATTGGTTACTATAAATTTATCAAAAATTTATTTGTGTTGAGGCCTATCAGTTGCATATGTTAAGGTGATGCGACTATTCGAGAAAGAAAAGATCAAATTCGTAATTATATATGTATTTTGAAATATTGTTTAAATATGTGCCTAACTCGTATATTTTACGTGAAGTATGTCTAAAACATAATTTTACTGAAAGTAAACTCCTTTTTTAATACTGTATTCTTACTTAACATATTCTTTACTTGTATTATGTAAAAATAATGAATTATATATAATGTAAAAATATATTATGAATAGGAAGAGTAATTGAGTAATTACATAATGACGTTATGTAAATTTTACTCCTTCTTCCTATATAGTTAAAAAGTTATAAAGAGTAGATTTTTAACCACAAAATAATATTTTTATCAAAAGTTCGCTTTGTAAAATTATGATTTTCTTCAAATATTGTTTATTGACTAATTAAAGTTAAAAGAATGTTTCTTTTTCTCTTGCAAACAATAGTGAAAAGCAAAATATAGTTAATTTACTGTAAAAATCGATAATAGACACCTCAACACAATACACAGAAAAATTCTGCAAACGATTCAAGCATTTACGAGTTATATAAAAAAATGAGAAAAATATTGCATAAATAAAAAATTACTTTGCAGATATTTTCGTTCACTAGGGGCGTTGGTTAATCGTTATTTTTACCTTAATTAGCAGATACTGAAAAAGTTAAATTCTTTCGTTGGCGAGAATTTAAAATTATGTGGATGTGTATGTTTTGAAAATGTTAAAGTGTGTGCGTTGAGTCTTTTTACAAATTTTTGTTAGACTCAAAGCAAGCATAGCATAGTATTTTTGGGCAATACGTGGTGCAATGCAATGTCAAATTCAAACGATTATGTAATTTGAACAAATTGTACATTAAATGTTGCTATTCAGTCTGGGAATTGTGTTTATCAAAATTTTCTTGCAAATAGCAAGTTTGCAATTTTTTTATACTGTGAACGAACTTTTTATACTGTGAAAGAAGAGGTAAAAAGTGCAATAAAAAAGTGTAAAAAAGGTGACTTTCCTATTATAAAAAAAATTTTAAATCGCTTTTAAACCGCCTTTATACTTGAGCCTTTACGCTTTTAATTAGATTACTAAAATAATGTTTAAATATTTAATAAATAGAAGGATTTTGATATATTTTACATTCAATGGCAATTTTTTGAGGCGCTCTCTGCTTTCTCCGTATTCACAACGGTTTCCAAACTATTTGGAACTTACTACATCGCCAAAAGCTTTTGAAGTACAATATAGAACATGAAACATTGCAACGAAAATTTTTTTTTTACATTATTGAAGCCAGGGAAATGCAACACTGATGGAATTAAAAAAGTTTTTAAAAAAAATTCAATACAAAAATCACTAGGTTAATAACGTTGTTTAATTTAATGAATTATTTCATTTCAAACTTATTTAATCTTATTTCGCTTCGGTAGAATATATTATGCATAGATTTATTTTATTTAACCTTGTGTTAAGTGAAAATAGACTTCTTCTTTACACAAATGATTGAAATTGGTATGAATTCTTGCAAGAAATAAAAATTTCAAATGAAAATTTGTGTATAGTTTTATATCATTTTAATTTTTAGTTTAAGTTATGTTCATCAGGATAATTTTTCTTATGTTGAGTACAAAACTATGCATATATTTATTTCAGTTGTTATAAGAGGAGTAAGAAGAAGGAGAGAAACTGAATATAGACTCTCATAACTCTACTACACACCCCAAATTTAATATGAACAAACTTCGCATATATGCCACAAAATTTCAATACATGCATACATTATACTCAAAAAATTTTCAAGAGGATAATTTTTTTTTTCTAATTTGATGTTAATTAGAAAGAAAATATAAAATAGATACCTACATATGTATATTAAAATCTAAATTTTTAATTACTGTCAATTCAAAAACTGAATATTATATTAAATTTTTTTGAAAAAATGGTAAAATCTGGATCAAATGTTTTAATTTTAGAAAGTTATTAATTTCTACTTCCATGTACAATTTTAAGTGATTTTCGAAAAGAAATTCAATATACTATTCTTCATTTGCTTATTCCTTGTGCTAAATGAAATCATGATTGCCCATATTTTTGTTTAATATAAAGTGTATAACATCAAGTTGAGTGCAAATGAAATAAATAAGGAAACAATACTATACATAAACATAATACGAAACATATTAACTATAATATGTCTGTAAAGCATGCAGATTTACAAACACATAATTTATTCGCGACTCGCCTAGGCGTATGCCGTGCCGTTTACCGAATACTGAAAATGGAGAGAAAAAAGACAGAATCTGCAAAAAAAAATAAAAACAAACGAAGAAAAAGTTTTGTTAATAAATACAAGTGAAGGTAGGAAAAAATTTTAGTTGACGAGAGAAACTCGTTGGAAAAACGTTGTTTTAGGTATAAAAGTATTCAATCTCGTAGATTTGTGTGTTAATTTATTGTAAATTTAATAAGTTATTAAAAAAAAAAACAAATTTTTAAATATGAGGGAAATCGTACATATTCAAGCTGGTCAATGCGGTAACCAAATTGGAGCCAAGGTAATTTTTAATCAACATTATATAAGAAAAAAGGATAATTATTAATTAAACTTATTAGTCTTGGATTAATAACTACAAAATTGAAAAAAAAAGATAAATGAAAATGGACTTTATATTAAAAATTGATTTATCGAGCAATTGAAGTTAAATAAAATTGTAAAATACAAAATGAAATTTGATGAAAGGGCTTTAATTAGATTGTGTAGAACTAAAAATTATTGGAATAAATTCTTGTATTTATAAATATTGAATAAAGTGAAATTTAGTTTAAGTAAAATGAAAAAACTGTAAAAATAATATTTAAAAATTTTTATGGTGCCTTTCATCAAAAATTAAATACACCACATCTCCTGCGTGGTGGTGACTTTTTAATGATTTTTTAAATATGAAATAGGGCCATAGTAAAATTCTGTTGCGGAAAAAGGATGTATATATATATGAATTGAACTAAGAAAAATTTAAATAATTTTAGATTTTCCGTTTTGAACTGGCGCTTTGCAACATAGCGTCATATGTATGTATATGAAGTTTTGAAAAATACATTAGAGAGAAAAAAAAATACATTTGTGAAAGAGAGAAAAAGTGTACAAGAATGTGAAAGTTGAATAGGCAAGAAAGAAAGAAAAATATGACATGTGGCATTTTGAAACTTTAAATTTAATTCATTTAAGAAAAAAAAGCATGACTAACTTTTCGAAATTAAATAATAAATGCATATAGGTAATAGGTATGTTGTTTAAGAAAATGCCGGCCGGTTTTTATTTTTCTCACAAATAGCAATGCACATATTATAAGGGAACATTGTACAAGTTATAAAAATTTAAAATGCTTGAGTCATGAAATGTAATTTTTACGTTTCCCAAATTTTGTTTTCAAAAAATTTGAGCAATTGCTTTTTATGTACAATACATGTATGCATATATGTACACGCATACATTTGTATAATTACTTTCATAAAAAGTTACTCAAAATTTATTGATTTTAGATGGTGGCTTATACCCGAATTAGAAAGAACGATTTGGCTTTTTATCCAAAATTTGCAAAATTGATTTTTATCAAAAATATTTTTCAGTTTAGTCATATTACATTAATGAATTTGCTAGAAAAGAACAAGTATATTATTTTTTCTGCAAATATTTTGTCGTTAAGTGTAGTCTTCTCACTTCTATTTATATGTACAGGGTGAATTGTAAGATTAAAAGAGAAATACAGAAAGGGGAAATTTAATAGTCATTCCAACTTAGTTGAAAAATAATTATGAATCATCTACATAATTCCTTGTGAATGAATCTTTTTCAAACTTATTCTAGAAAATTAAAGAATAAAGAACAAAAGTAACTTACATTTATACATATATTTGTGCAATTTAAAAAATATTTAGTTGCAATTGAAAACTTTAAACAAAACTTATGTTGTAATTTTCAAATGAAAAATTAATAATTTAGTATTATAGTTTTATTATGTAAATATGTAATTAATATTTTTTAAAGTTTTGTGTTAATTGTAAATTCTACATACACACATACCCAGAAAAATTTTAAATTTTTAAAATCGCGTGGGCAATAAATAAGGTTCTCTTATGCCTACATGAATATTGGAAAAACATTGATTAATCTTATACATTCTTGACTTTTTTCAAGTTGTATATTTTATTCTTATTTGATATTTAAAAAAGTTAATAAAACATACATACATATTTACATAAGAACATTATTTTATTGATCAAACATTGAGTACAATATAATTGCCATTTTCATTTACACACAACAATTTGTTAGTTGAATATAAAATTGTAAAATTCTACTCCATAGATAACCAGGTAGGTATGCATATTACCTATCCACCTACTTATTTTTAATTTTTGTGACAATAAATGAAAATTTTTGTATTTAAATATATTAAACACGCAAGTTTTGTATTAACCCAAATTCATAATTAACTTTTTAAAACAATTTTATGATATTTGTGAATTTCATTACAAACTCGTATACTTGCCTACCTCTATGTATCTACTTCTCCGCATGCTATGACGAAAATGAAATATATTCCTACATAGGCTAAGTACAAATGGAAATTATGTTCATTTCAAAATCGATTTTACCCAAAAAAATATTCCTACCTATGAAGATACTACGTTTTGTTAAAGTTAAATTAAATTAAATGGATAGATTTTATATGAATAATTTTTTTAGAACTAATACATACTTTAAATTTACCGCTCTAAAACTTACTTGGTATTCTTAGATTTAGAAAAGATATAATACCTATAGCTACATATAGAACTATGTTAGGTAGGCCATTATTAGTCTCAAATATTTTTTTTTAAATTTAAATACCTACATGTAGTGTGGTGCGACTACGTAATAATTATCCTTATAAGGATATTATTTAGATATAGAAACACAAACATAAGTACATATACACCTACAAAAAAGGAAAAAAAAAGATTTACATATGTACCTATTTTATTAATGCAGAACAACGAATAAAGCTAAAATAAATAATTTCAAATCGATTTTTTTTTCACTACATAGAAAAAGCAGATTTGTACCGCCATATGTAGGGTAGTTACATACAAGTTATTGCTATGAATAATACAATTATGTTTTTATTTAATGCAGTCGTTCAGTATTGAGTTGTTTTTTTTTTTTTTTTTTTTGTTTTAACTAAATTGTACTCAACCCTGAATGCATGCCAAGTTATAATATAATATAATAACTTTTCAAACTGGCCCCTCAAGTTGTACAGTGTATTAACAAGATAGTTATTTCACAAATTAATGCTGAACTGAGAAATTTTTAATTTGGAACTTAAAATAAGCAAAGCTATTATGGATAAGTAACTTCAATATTAATTATAATAAAACCATTGTGATGGAAAAATTATTTTCTAAATACTTAAAAGTGTGGTTGGAAATAGATTTTTTTTCTTCTTAATAATTAATGCCAATCATTTTATAAATAGTCTATCATTTGATAACATTTTTTTTATGTCTGTATTTTATTTTTGAAGTATCAAATTTTCATTAAGAGAAAATTTTAAATAGCTAGGTGTCCCTAATTTATCAGTTGATGATTGAAAAGCAAGTCATAAAAAGCCAAAATAGATTACAGTTTCCATTTACATCAATAGGAATAGTTTTTCCAATTTTTTTTTTTTAATTTTCATTATTTTTATCATAGTTTTCTAAATTACTTCAATCTCTTTTACTAAAATTTTATTTTTATACTTTTAAAGTTGAATGAACGATGGAAAAGAGAAAATAAAAATATAAGAAGGTTTGGTATTTTGTTCGATTGGAATATTCTGGATTCGTCTATTTTCTTTAAAAGCATATTTCTATATATTTTATTGTAAGAAACTTTTTGGTTTTCTTGACCGCGGCGTTATACCTTTCTATAGTTTCATTAAAAGATTTAGAAATTTTTTCGCTTTTCTTTTTGGCATTTGTTTTCGAGTATCTTGCATTTCATCTTGGGATTTTATTTTCTTTCCTCTCTATTTTATATTTGGTAGTACCTACCTTCCTTCTCTTGACGGCTAAATTGGTTCTTGGTAAAATAATGCTGTTTTATATTGATATTTTAGGAAAATTCAATTTATGTGTATTTAAAAAAAAAAAACAAATGCATTGAGAACAAATTTTTCTATACTTATTATTACCTATCTTATAATTTTTTCTTGTAAAATATGTTATTTGTGTGTACTTGTGTTCTAATTTTATAACAGCAAAGAAATATGTGCATACATACATCTTTTATTTGTGTTTCCTAAATATGTAATTTTAAAAGAAAAATTTTAAATAGAAAATATACATACATACATATTTCTTATGAAGATATATATGTACATATGTATAATATGTATACTATATTACATGTAATGTAATATGTATATAATATTATATACGTTATAAATCAGTCGACTGGAAAAAAATTTAAATTAGATGTGCATATCATCTATTCTATACATACAATGTATGCTTTATTTACAATTTTGTACATGTATATGATACAAAATATATAGAATATAATCATATACAATATACATAAAAAAATATAAAATAAAAAATCAAAAAGAAGTTTCCATTTTAGATTTTCTTTTAATGGAAAAACAATTTATATGTATGTACATATGTACATGTCGTCTATTCTACATCTTTTTGGAATAAAAAAAAAGCATTTTTTATTTTTAAAATATAAGCTACTAAAATGAAAGATTTTCTTAAAAAAGCACATTATTAATAGGTCGTCTATATTTCTATTGACTGCAATTCATTAAATAAAAAAAATAAATTAAATAAATATGTATCTTTTTATGCCATTCAATATGCAATATGTATATTTTTTACCTCGATCATGTTTACAGCCATAATAAACTTTCGAGTTATACTCGTATACATAATGTAGCTTGAATGGTTTAGTTAATAGCTTAAAAAATTTCATAGCTTAAATTTTTTAATAAAATTTGTTTATTTTTAAACTCACACTTGATTTTTGTACGGATAATTTGTATGCATAAGTCGGTATTAATTGTAAATTTTTTTCAAGTTGTTTAGGCGTACTCAACTGGTTCATATATCAATGAACCTGATCAGTTGAGAGGGCGAAACAATTTTACTTGAGTTTAATATTGTTGTTTTTTTTATACTAAAAGTTTCTTGCTGCATTTGTTTTTTATATATGTATATAATAATTTGGGGCAATATATGTAAAATATTAAAAAGCATGATATACATACAATGTTGAATATTTATAATCAATTCATTAATTATAACGCTAAATATGCTGAATTGTGTATATATACTGCTTTTTTGAAGTCAGAGTATCCCAAAATGATAGACATTAAAAGCGATAAAATGAAATATATTGAATGAATATTGTTAGTACGTATTTGGTAGTCGATTCATTTTTTTTAGATTAAATTGGCTTGGGCATTACCCAAATTAATATTATTTTTGGGAATTACTTTTTTAGTTGTTAATTATTGTACTTACTCAA